AAATGCTGGCACATAGGCAGATGTGGTTCTGGAAGAGTTGCTGAGAGTCCTACATCTTGCAGCAATAGGAAGTGGTCTGAGCGTCACACTGAGCGAGACTTAAACAAAGCCTGCCCTCACAGTGACACTTCCTCCAACAAGGCCACGGCTACTAATAATGCCAGCCGCTCTGGGGGCCATTTTCTTTCAACCCCCCACTCTCCTTCCAACCATTTCTAGCTCTGGTAGGCTATGTATCCATAGGCTGGCCCATTGGTATTCAGCATTTATCTAGTTTCTTTCCTCTTACATTTATTTATTTATTTGGATTTTTCAAGACAGGGCTTCTCTGTGTAGCCCTGGCTGTCTTGGCACTCACTATGTAGACCAGACTGGTCTTGAACTCTCCTGAGTGCTGGGATTAAAGGTGTGTGCTCCTGCACCTGGTTTCTCTTAGAAACTTTATCCTTCTATTTATTGTGTGTGTGTGTGGGCACTCATTTGGAGGTCAGAGGGACCTTGCAGGGCTCAGCCAGCTCTCTTCTGCCAGGGCTCCAGGGCTCCAACTTAGGTTTTCAGGCTTGGCAGCAGTTGTCTAACCTACCAAGCCACGTTGTTGCCCAGCTTTTTTTTTCTTTTTGTATAATGCTGCTTTAACCTCCTGAATCCTGAGATTGTGAACCACCATACCTGGCTGTACTACCTACTTACCACCTTTTTCCATTTGGAAAAGGGGATGGAAGCTGGGCTAGGCCAGTGTTGTTCCATAAGCCGCACCCTCACGTCCTGATTCTCTGTCTGTCTCTCTCTCTTTCAATGTATGTGTTTGTATGTTATTGTTTTTTGGGGGTGCTGCATATGTGATACACCTCACGAGTGTGGATGCCAGAGGATAACTTGCAGGAGGAATTGATTCTGCCCTTCCACCATGTGGGTCCTGGGATCTACCTCAGGTCATCAGGCTTGGTATAGTAAGCACCTTTCCTCATCTGAGCCATCCTGAAGCCTGTCCCAGGCCTGGATCATTTCAGTCATGTGCTCATGTGGCATGGCTAGGCTGGGATGAAGCTCTGTAGCAGAGCATCCACCTAGCAGGTGTGAGCTCCTGCCTCCCATGCCCAGTAGTATAAATCAGTCAGTCCATCAGTCTGTCCAGGCTAAAACCAGTAAATAAAACAAGCAGATAAAAGACATTTGAATATGAAGTATACTGGGAGGAAAATGGAGCAGAGATGGACAGGGCTCTGAAGGGCTCAGTTCTTCAATAAGGAGTCAGCCGGGATACTTGCATGAGTAGTCTAAGCAGAGGGTTACAGAAGAAGGAAGACCTGGGCCTAGTGATACAAGCCTGGGCTCCAAATTACCCAGCAGGCTGAGGCAGAAGGATCATAAGTCCAAAGATAGCTTGGGCAATTTGGTGAGAGCCTGCTCAGAAAATAAAAGTGTTGGGAGTAACATATGTAATGGCCCAGGTTCATTCCTAGTCCTACAAAAACAAACAAACAAACAAAAATGTGTAATTGTAAAGGCAAAGTAATGGAAGAAGGAGCAGGTCCTGGGGAGGTGGGTGTGGACCAGGCACAGGGAGGGGAGGGTAGCTCAGGGTCCTGTTTGCTGTTAGGGATAGCTCTGACTTGTGGCTCCTGTGACTTCTGCATCACAGAGTTCTCCAACCATTGAATCCACCACCTCTCCAGAGCTGCCTTCAGAGACCCAGGAGACCTCAGGCCCTGGCCTGTGCAGGTGACACCCCTCCCTAGTGTGCCCCCCACCCTTCTGCCTACCATCTGAGTTCATCAGCTCCCTTTCTCCACAGCCCTCTGAGGAAGTCATCCCTGAGTCTCGAGGACTTCAAGTTCCTGGCAGTGCTGGGCCGTGGTCATTTTGGGAAGGTGAGGCAGGGGAAGGACTTAAGGCTTGGAGTTCTTCCTTCCAGAGCCCAGGCTGCCCACTACGGCCCCCATGTTCACTTTGTGCCAGGTGCTGCTGTCTGAATTCCGTTCCAGTGGGGAGCTCTTTGCCATCAAAGCCTTGAAGAAAGGGGACATTGTAGCCCGGGATGAGGTGGAGAGGTGAGGCACTGTCCTGGCTCTTGAGGACCAAGAGGAGGGAGGGTGCTATTGAACAATTCAGTGAGAGACTCACGTTACCAGGACTTAGGACCCTCTTACCTAAGAGGGATTTAGGAAGTAGCTACTGTGACTCATATGTGCTCCCCCTTTCCCCTTCCAGAGTGTATAATATTGTCTCCCATTCTACTCAGGGTTTAACTATCTTCCAGAGGTCACAGAACTCAAATGTAGGGACTTGGAACTGCCTAGTTTTGGAGTCAGGGTCCCAGGTTAAAATCATGCCCTTTGTCAGCTGTGCTTCTGAGTGCTGGGAAAAGTGGTCTTCCTTCAGAACTTAGCTCCTGATCTGTCCATCTAATGCCCATGGAAATGCCCGTATCATATGATTTTCTGGTGGGTCAAGGAAGAAGGTCTGTTTATAGTATTTTTCATGGTTCTTGATCCCTTTAGAGGCACCAGACTTCCCAGCCACCTTTTTAATAACCAGGAATCTGATTCAAAGTTTAAATGAGTAAGAGGAATTTATTTGCTGATCTGGAAAGAAGCCCAGTCATGTTCACCTTAAGTCACTGCTGTGCCCAGGGCTTGGTGACGTTTCTGGTTACGTGCTCCTCTGCGGGCTCTGGTTGCTGTCCTCTCTTGGAGACAGAGAAGCCTTTCCACACCAAAGATCAGATCCGGTTTCTCACACTGGGTACTGGTCCCTAACCCAGTCCCCAGCATAGACTTGAACTGCTCTGATCAGCCTGAGCCTGTGCCCGTACCTGCTTCCCAAGACAATGTTTAGATTCTGGGTGCAGCAACCAAGGCTGCCCAAACAGAGAGAATAATCCAGTTGCCCAAAGCTGCACAGCAGTGCAGACTCAACGGATATCTGTTGAATGAGCCCTGGAGGGCATGAGCATAGGTCAGGGAGCAGCTGGGCCCTCTGACTTCTGCCTCCTGCCCAGCCTGATGTGTGAGAAGCGGATTTTGGCGGCCGTGACCAGGGCAGGACATCCCTTCCTGGTGAACCTTTTCGGCTGTTTCCAGACCCCAGAGCACGTGTGCTTTGTGATGGAGTACTCAGCGGGTGGAGACCTGATGCTGCACATCCACAGTGATGTGTTCTCAGAGCCTCGGGCTGTGTGAGTCCTCACTCCAGCACCATGCCTCTTCCTACGCATTACTGGAGGCCCCACCCCTGCACCTTACCCTCACCCCACCCCTGCACCTTACCCTCACCCCTCCACCCTACCCCTCACCCCTCCACCCTACCCCTCACCCCTCCACCTTCCCCCACCCCTCCACTCTGAGGCCTGACTCCCGCACAGCTTTGGGACCCCAGGGGTTAGGGACTTGGTGCCTGTGAAGCCAGGCTTGTGTGATCTTGTGCGTCTCTGCAGCTTCTATTCGGCCTGCGTGGTGCTGGGGTTACAGTTCCTCCATGAACACAAGATTGTCTACAGGTGTGTACATGAGAGCACATTCTGTCCATACACTGGACATGCTCAAGCTCTGTACAAAGCCCCAACCCCCACTCCCAACAACCCCTCTTTACATCCCCTGACACCCCATTCCCCAGGGACCTGAAGTTGGACAATTTGCTTCTGGATACTGAGGGCTACGTCAAGATCGCAGACTTTGGCCTCTGCAAGGAGGGTGAGGGGCTGCAATCCTGGGATGAGAGGAATAGGGGGTGGGCTACCTTCTGGTGAGGCTGTATGTAGGTGGTCAGGTGACAGTTTCTTCTCTATGGGCTTTGCTTGCAGGCACCTGCTCATCCTAACAGCTTCAGGGTAGTTTACCAGCTTTAGCCCAACCCCCCGGGTCACCCCCATACTGATTTGGGGTAGGGCTGGCTATTTGGATTGTCTCATGCTCTACTCCCCCTAGCCACTAGTGGCTCACATGGCCATGCTCTCCACAACACCCAGGGATGGGCTATGGAGACCGGACCAGCACATTCTGTGGGACCCCAGAGTTCCTGGCACCGGAAGTGCTGACAGATACATCCTACACTCGAGCAGTGGACTGGTGGGGACTGGGCGTGCTGCTCTATGAGATGTTGGTTGGCGAGGTGAGACCTAGGCTGCCTTTTTCTTCTGTAGAGAACATGCATGTGCCCTAGAGTGGGATGGGAATCTGCCCCTACTACTTGTCAGCTTTGCCCCTCTGATCTCAGTTTCTGTAACTAAAATGGAACACTTACGCTCTATAAGCCAACTCCGGTGCAAGGGTGTAACCCCCAAGGGTAGGGCCCTTGGTAGTGGTGGGTGTGCTGGATTGGCTAAAAGTGGGATCTTCCTCACCCTGGCTCTATGTGCCCCCCTCCCCAGTCTCCATTCCCTGGGGATGATGAGGAGGAAGTGTTTGACAGCATTGTCAATGATGAGGTTCGCTATCCCTGCTTCCTGTCGGCAGAGGCCATTGGCATCATGAGAAGAGTAAGTACACACCCTACCACCCCACCACAAAGGGCAAGGTGGGCAGGGAAGGGTCCTGAGGGACCAGAATCAGATACACATTGACATGTCGTCTTACAGCTGCTGCGGAGGAACCCAGAGCGGAGGTTGGGGTCCACTGAACGTGATGCAGAAGATGTGAAAAAACAGCCTTTTTTTAGGGTAAGCAGACCCCCCCTCCCCACCCTGTCAGTCACCCCAAGGACCTGGGTGTTTCTCCCAGTTCATTTCCACCCTAAATCTAGTTGCTTCATCTCAAGAATTTTGCCCCCCCCAAGCTGCCATGATTCCTCTCAAATGTTACCTCCTTTTGTCTGCCCCCCCTAATACCCCCAGTCCTCACTTTCTCTGCTTCTCCAGGCCCACATCATTACAGGGTTATCCTGAGCTACCCCAGACTCCCTTGATTAATCTGAGCTCCAGTCCCTCTGCACCTTGTCGACTTTCTGCTGCTCTCCAGACTTCCACTTAGCCTCCTCCATGACTCTCTGTTCCCCTCTCCGCAGACTCTGGGCTGGGACGTCCTGCTGGCTCGTCGCCTGCCCCCACCCTTTGTGCCTACACTTTCGGGGCGCACAGATGTCAGCAACTTCGATGAGGAGTTCACAGGGGAGTTGCCCACACTGAGCCCACCCCGGGATGTGCGGCCCCTCACAGCTGCAGAGCAGGCAGCCTTCCAGGATTTCGACTTTGTGGCTGGAGGCTACTAGCCCCAATCCCCTGCCTTGCCCAAGAGTTCTTGGTTTTTAAAAAGCCCTTTGAGGTTTACCCCATACATGCATTTTCAGCCTCTGTGTGCAATCTTGGGTGGGCGTCCTTGAGTGGGTAACAAGCAGACAGACTCTGGGGGACTGGACTATGATGGGGCTCATTTGAAAAGATCAAGCTGGGAACATGCATTAGTGAGGAGCCAGGACAGGACTCAGGACTGTAGTGGGTACAGGGTGTTGAGATTGTTAGTATAGTTAGGGACCACAAGTGAACAGAATGATTACAAGAATCTGTTGTGGCAGCGTCAGAGACAGTAAGTAAATCCAAAACCTCGTTGCATTTAAGGGGAGCTCCAGTCTCAGAACTAAGGACTCAGGGTTGTGCGCATGCTCTTGGAGCTGCTGACACGGGGATCCCACCTCTGATATTTGGAACATCCTGTGTGTCTGCGCCACCGCGTGGCCAACGTTAGAATTGTACTCGTCAGGGCGGAGCCTCTCACCAATATGCGGTCACAGTGTGTGCTGCCCCCCCAAGGACACATCGCCCATGGTGTTTGAGGGTTTCTACACCCTTGAGCCCTGCCCAGTGGTGTGGCTTAGCTTCTGGGCACGTTCAGAGGTGGCTGAAGCCACTGTGCCGGGAGCTTCGCAGTGAGCTGGCCTCCCAGGCACTCTTGGTTAGGTCCAGCTCCGTTGGGCCACCTTTAGCACCGGCTCTCAGGGGCAAGAGGCGAAGCAGTTGGCGCAGCACGGCCTGGCGCAGTAGGATGTACACCCATGGGTCCAGGATCTGGTTCCACGACGCGAGGCGCACAGCCAGAAAGAGCGGCCGCTGGAGGGAGCTAGAGTTCCAGCCCCCGACGGCCAACACCACCAACACCTGCGAGAAAAGCAGGTGTGAGCAGTGGGACGGGTGTGAGAGAAAGGGCAGGGTGGAAGATTAGGATGCTGGGGAGGGCTATGCTGGGCCAGCACTGTGTGGGAAGGAGAGTGACTAAGCAAAGGTCGTCAGTGAGTGCAGAGTCTGGGTAGAGAAGACCATCGTGCCAGGACACTGGACAGAAGAAAGGGGAGGAAGAAGGCTAGGAATGGATGGAGCGGAAGGAAGAACTGGAGAGGCTTGAGTGGATGGGAGTAAGTTGCAGAGATCCAAAGAGGGCGAAGGTAGAGCCCGGGTATAGCAGAAAGATAAGGCTTTTTGTGGAGGAAGGGTCTTTAGGGGGCGGAGCCCAGGAGGGGGCAGGAAGGAGTGTGGCTCGAGGAGCGGTTGCGCCCCTCACCAGCAGGGGGCTCCAACAGATGCACGACACCACCATGATGCCCACGAGCTGGCCCACCATCTCCACGTCGTGCGCACGAACCCTGCGCGCCGAGCCGCCGCCCCGGGAGCTGCGGAGGGTGGCGGAGGCTGAAGCGATGGATGAGGCAGACGAGGTGGAGGCCAGTCGGGGTCCACGGGACCCCCAGCGCCGGCGATCATCAGGACCTGTGGTCTCGCGGAGACGTCGAGAGCGGCGACGTCTCCAGCGGGCTCGCAGGAGCGCCAGGCCGCTAAGCGTATTGCATACGAGTGCCGCAAGGAGCGCAGCCAGTCCAAGGCCAGCAAAAAGGCCGGCAAGCAATGCCTGGCGCCAACCTCCACGAGGCCCAAGGCTAATGAAACACCAGGTACCAGGGTACTGTAGCTCGTAGCGACCCACGTGTGCTAGCGGCAGCAGCGCCACTGCCAAAGCCAGGGTGGCCAGAGCGGCTAGTGCCAGGCGTGCGTGGGCCACCGACACACGCGCTGCGTGGAGCAGTGGTTGCGTAACACCCACACAGCGCTCCACGGCCATGCCGCAGCCAAGCAAAAGTGGGCACAAGCCGAAGAAGACCATGCAGCCGCCCAGGAAATGACAGGCCCCGCCAGCAGGCGATCGTCCTGCAGCATACAGGCGAAGCACCAACGCGCCCGGGATCACATGGCCTGCCAGGTCGATGGCCAGCAGGCTGGCGACGAACAACAGAAAGGTGGCTGCTGAGCGGCGTCGTCGCAGACGGCCTGCAGCTTGTGCGAGCAGCGCTAGCGCCAGCACGTTGGACACGGCACCCAGAGTCATGGAGAAGATAGGCAGCGCTGGTGATGTGTCGGAATCGCCTGGTGGCAGCACCACAGATGTGTTGGGGACCCTGGGTGTTGCACACGTTGTTGCCTCGTCCACTAGGCTCACGTTAAGCCCACAGGGGCTCATATCAGTGGCCAAGAGGGCTGGGTAGATAAGAGAAGGCACAGTGAGGCTAGGGTCCCACTACCTATCACCAGAAACCATGTAACAATGTGGCCTCTGCGCCGCATGACCCTGGCTGCTCCATTTCAGATCCCACTTTACCTGCCACTGTTCCATCCCTTGTGTCTGACCTCACTGCCCCCACATTGTCTTCTCTGTCTACTGGGACTTGACTGGCCTGGCAAGGGTCTTCAGTGTCTATCCTCAATTCTACCCACCTCCTATCTCATCGGGTTCTTAGTCCGTGCCCCATGGAATAGACCCTGAACCATTTCTGATCCCAACTCTAACCTTAACCATATCTGCGCCCTCTCCTTTTTTGTAAGTCTCTTTGGCTTGCTCTGGAACTGGGTGTGTAGACTAGGATGGCCTTAAACTTAAACCCACCTACCCACCTACCTACCCCTCCTGTGTCCTGAGATTAAAGGCTCACGTCGCCATGATCAGTTGTTGGTCACCTTTTAATCCTGCCCTTTCCACTACTATAGTCCATCTCTTCCAATGACCATGTCCTGCTTCCAGAGACCTATTCTTCACATCCAATTTCCTCCCTCCCCAAACAAGGCATCTCAATAAAGACTCCTTTCTATAACCCAAAGCTGCTATGCCCCGTAGCCCCATCTCTGATCTCTTTGGTGCTTTTGAACTCCTCCGACCCACCTCTTTACCGGGAATCCCATTCTCTTGTCAAGAGTCACACCTCAGTTTTCATGGCAGTCTCTCACTAATCTGGCATTGCCTCATTCAGATGCCCACCCCATACTCTTGTGTTCTTCATTCTCTAGTTGAGAGGGCTAAAGCAGATGGACAGACAGCCTTGGGCTGAGAGCCATGAGCACAGTGAGACCAGGGTGGCCATAGCCCATCTTTCAATGTTCCCCTTTTCCCTGCTTGCCCACCCTCAAGTCCCGGCTTCTTACCCAGTGCTGCTCAGGATGCAGGGTCCCCATGGCCCGGAACTAGGCTCCTGCTGCCCGCGCCAGCTGCTCCCTGGCTCCCGGCAGGCCGCTCCCTCTTCCTGGGGCGGCTCCTCAGCACTGTGCCGCCTCCACCCGCACCCCGCTGGCCTCCAGGGGCTGCTCCACCCCATGCATGTCTGCCCGCTGGAGCTGAGAGCCTTGAGAGGGGGAAACCTCTGCTGCTGGCAATGGTCAGGGCCACTTGGGCCTGGCTTCTTCCCGCCAGGACTGAGGTTCTCTGAATTGGTCTGGTCTGTGACCCCCTCCTCTCAGTGAGGCAGAGGCAACCCCCACACCCTCACCCGGGCCTCTTGCCTGCCTCATTAATAAAGTGGATAAAATCTAAACACTGGAAAATGTGAGCATCGCCTGGGGCAGGCTGGGAGGTCTACGTACTCTCATGGGGGTGGGGTGGGGTGCTGTCCCCACTGGGCTTGAGGGTTTGGGAGCTGGCTGTGTGATGGGAGCCAGCAATGTTGCCAGTCCTTAAGCCTTTGTGAATGTCATAGTGGGGTGCAGGTGAGCAGAACCCCATTCTAGGGCAACAGGGAGTCATCCTAGGAGAAAGGGAGGTGGCTGAACAGCTCAAGGGAGCCAGGCTAGCATATGCATCCCGCCTTAAGGTGGGGTAAGCAATTCATAGGGCACCTGAGCCACACCCTGCACCCACAGCCACAGTCTCACTTTGTCTTGAGAAGGGGAACGTGTAGTCACTGTCAGATCAGTCATGATGGCAGGTAAACGTTGGACTGCTCCCCACCACTGCTGACTTTTAACAGCCACTCCCTTAAAACCCACAAATACAGACCCCTTGAAATTGATGCTTGCCCACACCTTAGCACAGGGTGTAAATCTTACTTGGCTTGCAAGTCTGTTACAGACCCAGGGCACATCTCCTGGAGATATCCCCCCACAAACCAATGCCCACGGGCACCCAGACCTTGCCCCTCCTGAGCCACATAACCACATCTCTAGGCCTAAGTGTTTATTCTGACCCCCAAACAAGGATATACCTGAGACCCATGCAACACCGGACACAGCTACATGACCACAAAACACCCCACAGTTCCCCAAAACCCAGAGGACCCAACGCTTACCCACAAGGGTATTAGCCCTGGTTCAACATGGTTACCAACCATCCCCTACTCAGTTTCACTCAACAAAGCCATACATTCCCAGCTGCTCCCATCAAAGACATGCAAGACCCCAGTGTAGGACCGGAGGCATAGTTCAGTGATAGTGTGCATCTCTAACATGTGTGAGGCCATGGGTTCCACCATATGCTCTGAAAAAACGACCTCAGTGATTGGGAATGAAAAGTCACCCTGACAGTGGCTGCCCATAGGGCTTTGTGTATGTAAATGTCTGGTATCCAGAGTACTCATCTCCTGCCTGGAATCGGGGAGCCAGTCCTGTTCAGCCTTTCTACAGCATCTCTATTAGGCTCACCCCAAACATTCCTCCTGGGCGCTGGAGAGGGACCTCTGGCCTGGCTTCTCTTGTTCTAATTCCCTCCCTTCTCTCCAGGTCTGGCCAGGGTCCCACCCCACCCTTTCCTTGATCTCCCTAAATCCTAGGATGAAATGGACTGTCAAAACAAGCTTGGCAGGTTTATGTCCCCGTGAAGCACTGTGCCATGGATGCCTGTGCCCAAAGTACGACCAGCCTCAATGGGGGCGCTGTAAAAGGTCAGCAGGAACGCTGCTGAAGCAGAGGTGTTAACTACAGCCTCTTCATACAAGAGGGGCTTGGTGAGTGGGGAGCCAGGTCTGAACCTCAAGTAGGCCAGAAACTCCGCCACTGCCTGGAAGCTTGGTGGCCTACAGCCAGGGGGAGGGGGCAGTGGGCCAGCCAACTCCTAATTCAATTTGGAATCCAGGAGATAGATTTCAGCTGCTGCATTCTTTCCCTAGCCACCCCTCCTACCCCAAAGCCAAACAACTCCCAGAGAAGAGTCCCTATATCCAAGAGAGTAAGGGTAGAGAAGCCCACTCAACTGCCTTGCTCACACATCCCTCTTGTATTTTGTAAGGGAGATGATGAGGAACCAGGGCTCACAGCAGTGTCTACTCAAATGGGAGACAACAGAATCCAACCTTAAGGGGGCTCCTCTCAGGTGGGAGATGCATGAAGGGGACAGACTTACTGCCTTTACTGGGGGGGGGGGTTGTGCTCCTTTCTGCATTTTTGGTGTTAAGAAAGTCAGGAGTGGTGAAGCACACCTTTACTGGGAATGCAGGTGTAGGCAGATCTCTGAGTTCGAGGCCAGCCTGATCTACATAGTGAGTTCCAGGACAACCAGCACTACATAGTGAGTCTGTCTTGAAAAAACAAAGCAAAAAAGTAAGATAGGAAAGTCATGACCCCAAACAGAATTGAGCCTCAGGGAGACAGAAGGGGCAGTTTGCCAGCTGATAGAGGGAAGTGTTGGGGACAGAGGTGGCTGCCCAGTGTGCTGGTCCCTCCCCATGCACTCACTCTACTGAGGTAGGTAGGGAACCTGGCAGAGGTTGGCCAGGGATCCCAACCAGGCTGGGCACCGTGGTGATCGGAGCGGGGCCAGGACCATAGGCCACTTCCATCCCATGCCATCCCCAGGCTGCTGAGTGTCATGCCTAAGCAGAGTGCTCAGGTCTTGGCTGTGGCAGCCATCCTGGAGGCCCCAGCCAGGCCAAGCCCAGGTTATCTCAAGGTCCAGTTCAGTTCCAGTCTTAGTAGCGGCCGACCTTGGCATCCCCGATGGCTCCCCAGACATCAAAGACGAATTCATCTGGGAATGCAAAGTCACCGAGCCGTTCATCGAGAGCCTCTGCCAGTTCATCTGGGTTCCTTTTGTCCTTTCCCAGCTCCACCATGGTGGCAGCTGTCAGGGAGGAGAAAGATGGAGGCACAGATGGCATGAGGGACGGAAGGGTGCAGGCTCAGCTCAGCCTGGGTAAGATCTGGAAGCCTGCTCCCACCTTCTAGGCTCGGGTGCCCCTACTCACCCAGTTCTGTGTCTCTGATCCCCATGTAGCTCTCTAGCAAGTCATCCACCTTCTCAATGGCCTTTTCCTCAAAGGCCGATGGCTGTGGAGGAGGGACGAGACAGCACAGTATTGTCAACAGAGCTGCTGTTGGACACAGGGAAGTCCTCAGTAGGGGACAGTTCCAGGGCCTCACCTGCCGGGCAGCAGCTCCACCAATGAGCTGTACTGCACCCCTGCTGCTGTTTTCCCACCTTTACTGGCTTATGTGTACGAGTGTTCTGCCTGCATGTATGTACGTGCACTGCATGACGGTCAGAAGAGGACACTGGGTGCCCTGGAGCTGGCGTTAACGTGTTAGCCACACAATATGGAGGCTTGGAACTTAACCCGGGTCATCCGCAAGAGCAACAAGTGCTCGAAAGCGCTAAGCCACTAGATATAATTATTCTAATTTTAAGATATATTCTAAGTTGTCCAAACTGGCTTTGAACACTAAACCCTCCTAACACAGCTTGCCGGGTATCTAGGATTACAAGTGCATGACCACACTAGGCTGGCTTTCATATACTTTCTTTTTGGTGTCAAGCTTTTGTGGTTAGAGTTGCCCTTGAGTGTGAAATCCTCCTGCCTGAGATTCCATGTCCAGCTGTGGTGTCTGTCTGTATCACTAAGGTCCCCTCTGACAGGAAGTTACTAGGACTCCTATTTTACAGGTAGGAAAACCAAGTCTCACTTGCCCAAGGAAGGTCCCAAAGCTGGGAGGAGGTAGATCTAAGCAGAAGTGTCCAGTCCCTCGGGTAATGAAAATGATGTCACTGGCCCAAGGTGGCTCACTCACCAGATCCTCCACTGTAGCAGGGCCCCGGGATCGGAGCCTGAGGGTCCCTCGGCCAGTGCCCAGTTGTGGGACCGAGCCAGGGTGGCCACCGGCTGAACGCTGGCTGATCATATCTATGGGAATTTCAGGATACAGTCAGTATAGCACTCAGACAGCTAGGCCACCTCTCACCATCTCCAAGTTCTGCAGGCTCCTTGGGATAGGGACTGGATTCCAGGAGGCCAGGACTTTGCAGGAATGGAGAGGGGCAGGGCGGGGGTTAGACATAAGAGAAGCTAGAGAAGAAAATTGAGAGCTGGGGAGGGGTGGGGTATGGGTCTCCGGTCACTTTCCCATGACTAGGGGTGTGCATAACTGCTGGGTCCCAGATCCCTACTACCTACCCATACCAGGGGTGCCTCAGGCCCATTCCTGAGAGTTAGTGAAGCCAGGTAGAATGGGGGGGTAGGGCCCGGGAGTTGTACAGGTCAGCCAAGCCTCACTTCTCCAGGCTGAGGGGGCTGGCCAGGGTTGGGGGAACTTGGCTGGGCTAATGGCTTCTGGAAGTTGGGTGTGGGGGCAACTTCCTTCAGGCTGGGCTGCCAGCCAGCACCCAGTTCTAGGGTAGGGTGGGGCAGGCTTCATTTTGCATTGCAGACTTGGGTGCCACCTGCTGGTGTTTCCCAGAACTGCAAACCATATTTTTCAAGAATTCAAGGTCATCCTAGTGGGTGGTCCAAAGATTGCTCACCAAAGGCTTTCCGAGGCTCTGTGAGTTTGAGGGTGAAGGTGCGGCCTCGGGGCAGCTCCTTGAGGAGCCTGGCAACTTCGTAGTGCCGACAGCCCAGCAGGCTCTGCCCGTTGATGGCTTCAATCATATCACCCACGCTGATGAGCTGGATGTGGTCAATCACACTGCCTTCCTTGATGCGCTGTGGAGGGGCAGGCATCAGCCCTGGAAGCTCCACTCTAGGTCCCTCTACAGGCCCTGGCCACTGACTAAGGGTGTGCCACCCACCCGGGCACCTTAATGAAGGCATAGCCGGCCCCGTTGTCGGTGATGGTGAGTCCCAGCGCCTCCTCAGACTTGAATACTTCCACTTCTTTGCGCTGTCCCTTGACGTGAGCAAAGATGAAGTCTTCCAGCCCGATCTGGCCCCCCAGGAGCTTGTCCATATCCACTTTATGGGTGTTGAGGGTGCAGAACATCACCTGCAGGGGTGGTGCAAGGTGCTCATGCCCTCCTCCCTGGGTCCCCTTTCCTAACACTTGGAGATACCTATCCCAGGGATTGGTGACACCCAGAGCCAGGGCAAGGTCCACTAGTACATCAAATGCTATGAGTAGGATTTCTGTCCTGGAAAGAATTCATTGCTAGCTTGATTTACAGTGAGCACTCAATATATGCTGAGTGAATGAAGGAGTCTAGATTCCCACCTACCCTTCCCACCCGTCGTCCCCACTCCACGCTCAGCCTACAGTTGCCCTGCCTGTGGCTTCTCTGCATCATGGGGAAATATGAGCTGCTCCTGACCTCCAGCTCCCATAGTGCTCTGGGGCATGGGTGTCCTAAGGCCTCATAGAAATCCAGCTACAACCTACCAGGCCACAGGCTACTCCAGACTTGATAAGACAATCAGCACTTGCACCCCCACAACCGACTAGGTTATGAGCCTCTCAAGACCTGATGGGAAACTCACCCCCACATACCTACTGGGGTACTGGGGTACAAGTCTCTCAAGGCCCGGTAGGCACTCAGTATCCAGCAGCCATACCTCCTAGATTCAGGGACTGCTGGCCAGTGGGGAGCATGAGGACCTGAGCCCCAGCTCACAAAAATGTATGCCTAGGCCTGTGCCTTGTTCTCAGGGAACCCTAGCCCCACTGGTACCTCTGCAGCTGGTAGTCGGAAGGCCTCAGCGATCTTGCCATACAACTCCTTGACATTGGTGAAGCCCTCGATGCGGCCTGTGGGGCTACCGTGGGCCAGCTGTGTGTGGAACACCAGGCGAGGCCGGAGGGCAGCAGGAGGTGGGGGCAAGCCCATCTGGGATTCCCCTGCTCCGCTTCCACCCAGGGGCCCAGGCTCCCCAACTCCCAGGCCACTCCGGCCTGGCTCTGCCTCTTCATTTTCCACCAGAGGTGGTGCCTTTTTCCGCCGCCCCAGTCCCAGTGGCATGAGGGGCCAGAAGTAGGGACTCGGCCAGGAAACCTGCAGAAAAGGAATTGGGTTTCATGCTGAGTAACAGCCCTGGGTGCCACCCATAACCACCACATGGTACCAATAACAACCAACATCGCCCGTTTTCAGACCTGACATCCTTACACCCAGGAGCCTGGTGCAGTGCTCCACCACTGAGACATGACTCCTATGCACAGGGTTCCAGGACACCTCCAGACACTGCCACCTTGGATAAGGTTTCATTGCATTTACACTCTACTGAGGGCTTTACTTTCTTTTCCCCATACTTGGCTACTGCTGGGCCATAGAGCAGCAACCCCTCCCATACACAGGGATCAGTTCTACACACTTGTATCTATAAAAACTCTTGTCCCAGCTTATCATTTAAGGGGTAATAACAAAAACTTCTGTCCATGTTCAGCACAGGTGCAATGCTCTCCCAGAATCAACCAATCCTCCCTCCCGGGGTTAGACTTTGGCCTTGTACATGTGTACCCAAGCTACATGCCTAGACTGCTTCCTACTTTTTATTTTGAGACATTTATCCTAGTTGCTCAGGCTATCCTTGATCCTGCAATCTTCCTGCCTCCGCCTCCACGGTAGCTGGGATTGCAGGCATATAGCAGCACATGTGCCTTGCCTGAGTGTGTTCCACGTACAGTAGATTTGATCTGGGTATCCAGAACAAATGGGAAGATAAAGGGTTGACCCTACATACAGCCCAGATGTGGGGAGCAGCTCAGTGGTAGATCACATGCTGATAAAAGCCCAGCTCTCAAGGCAGCCTCAGGTTGAAGCTTCACCTGCATGGTAGTAATCACAACAGGGGATACCTATTATAACCCGACATGACCTGTTCTGTGACCTCATTCTCTCCTTATTCCATAGAGCATCCTGCTCTAGCCACACCCACATAAACAGATGATGAAGAGAGGCTAAAGCACTGGTACTTCCCTTTGTTTTTCCTTTCTGAGACAGGCTTTCACTCCCTAGACCAGGCTGGCCTAGAACTCACAACTTCTTGCTCTCAACTTCTCAAGTGCTGAAGGACAGATGTACACCACTCCATCCAGCCTCCTTTCCTTTCCCTAGCAGCTGCAGCCATTAATGCTGTGCACAAAAACCGTCTTAAGTCTTTGGCTGGGGAGGTAGCTCAGTCAGTAAAGTGCTTCCAAGGACTGGAGTTCGATCCTCAGACGTGCTACCATGCACTTGCAATCCCAGAGCTGGGGAGAGAAGGATCCTTTCTGCTCACAGCCAGCCTAACCTACTTGGTGAGTCCTACGCCAGTGGGCAAATGCACTTGCCATCAATCACGCAGACCTGCGTTTGGTCCCCTGGATGCACATGGTAGGAGAGCATATTCACACAAGTGGTCTTCTGTCAGGTGTACCTACACACATACATACCCACACACAGGAAATGATCAACAAATGCAGTAATAAAGAATACCCCAGTGTGGACAGCTGGGGGTGACACCTGAGACTATCCTCCAGCTTCCATGCACATTTGTACCAGCACACCTGTGACACAGAAGAAACAAAACCCTTGCGTCTCTCCCTCAAAGCACACAATGCCCGCCAGTGAGTTCTAACAGGAAGTAACATGTGACACATCCCCACAGAAACATTTAATCACTGGGGCAAAATTCTCCCCAGCAATATAGCTCCTGGTCAGTGACCAGCAACAGTTGACATGGTGGTAATGTTATCAGGCTGGATGGGTCTTTAGTGACAGCAACTGTGATGGTCTGAACGAGAATGGCCTCCATAAGCTCATATATTTGAATGTTTGATCCCTAGCTGACAGACTGTTTTGAGAAGGGTTAGAAGGCATGGCCTTGTGGAGAAATGTGGCCTTTGAGGTGTTCAACACCCGTGCCAGGCCTTGTCTCCTTCTCTCTGCTGCTCCAGCATCATGCCTGCCTGCTTGCTGTAAGTTCTCTGCCATGCTGCTCATGGACTTGCCCTTAATTAACGCTTGCTTTTGTAAGTTGCCTTGGTCATGGTGTCTCCTTGCGGGAGTGAGACAGTGACTGAGACAGCACGGATGGATTCTCCAACAAGGAGCAATGGGTATGCAGTAAGAGCAAAAAGCACCAGCCAGGCATAGGGGCGTGGTGTGGATTCAGACCGAGGGAAGACTGTCATGAGCTTGAGGCCAGGCTGGAGTAACAGGTGACTACTGTCTCAACAAGGGCTGCAGAGCTTAGTGGGTAAAGCTCAGTTTAAGTATGAAGACCTACGTTCAAATCCCCAGAACCCACACAGCACTAGAGGTGATAATGCCTGCATGCTTACAGTAGGGGTGGAGGCAGAGCACGTTGAGAAAGCTTATGGACCAGCTAGTCTGTTGTGTGGACTGTCTCAAACAAGGTGAAAGGCGAGGACTGACACCCTCCACACAGGCACCAGGGCAAGCATGTGCCTGCATGCATTTGATCACCACCCCCCCACACACACACACACAGTGTCAGGTCAGGTTTGGTGCCAAGCACCTTTACCTTCTGAGCCACCAAAATGGCCCCTGTACCAGTTTTCATCTCCCTGTTTTTCTTCCTTTGAAGACTATTACAGTACATACAGGCACACGTGTCAAGGTGAGTACTTGGCAGAGGCAGGTGGATATATGTGACTTCAGGGCCAGCCTGATCTTACAGAGTTCCAAGTCCTCCACAGCTGCATAGAGACATCCTTTCATCTCACCTTACCCGACTCAAACCAAACAAAGGTGTGGCTGCCATGTTTATTTTTTAATAAGTGTGTGATCTGTGCTCAGAGGTCAAAGGAAGCCACACTTCACACCTATCCTGTGGAAGCAGGGTCCCCCCTCCTCTTTGACTAGTCTGGCAGCCATCAAGCCTCAGCAATACTGGTCTGGGGATCAGAACTCCAGTCCTCACACCCAAGCAGCAGTACTTTTAACTACCTCTCCAGCCCTTCCCTTTTCTTTATTTCTTTTTTCTCCCTCTCTCTTGCAAACAAACTTTTTTGGGGTGGTACTTATTATATTCATGCACTTATTCATTTTTATTTGATTGGTTCTTCTTTTTTCTTTTTAAGCCAGGGTTCTGACTCTCCTGGAATTCACTTCGTAAGCCAGGCTGGCCTCCAACTCACAGACATCTGCCTGCTTCTGCTGCCTCAGTACTGGAATTAACGGCATGCACTACCACTGCCAGCTTTAATTTCTTGAGTCTGGGTATCGCTGTTTTGTTCCAATTGGTCAAGTGTTCCTCCTGCCTCAGCCTACAAGCAGCTTGAACTATCAGCATGTGCCCTGTTTTATTTCAACAACCCAGATCCCTGACTGTGCACTACGATGCACACACAGTAGGTAATTTGGTGGCAAATGGAGTGAACTGTTGGCCATAGCTGTCATCTGAGCTTCACAGCTGCCTGCTGGGCTGTCCCCCTGCTGTGGCGTGTCTCTGGAAGAAGGCTATCTTTCTGATTATTTACAAGAGGTACAATAAGCCAGTTGGAGTTGACCATCCGCTTTAGAGCCCTGTAGTGCTGGAGCAGGGAGCAGGACCCAGTGGCAGTGACAGACGTCTTGGACCATCTTTAGACCCTCCCCTCCTGGACTTCCCACACAGACGTCTGGGATAAGAATGCTCTAAGTAGACTGAGAACAACAGTGCAAAGGCCCCGAGGTAAAGTAGTTCACATTCAGCACACCTCTGAATAGTGTGGCTGGAAGCAGGGAGGAAGGCAGGCAAAGCCTTTCTTCTTATAGTACTGGATGGAATCAGGCCTCTGCACACTGGGTAAACAATCACCGAACCACACCCAGCCCCTGATTTCACGTGTGTGTGTGTGTGTGTGTGTGTGTGTGTGTGTGTGTGTGTGTGTGTGTGTGTTGGGGGCACAAGCTCCCTCAAGGATGTGTGATTTGTAATCCCTGGAGGAAGCTCCTTGGCCTTGACAACTATCCACAGGGGCATTTCACCCACCTCACCAGGGCTCATGTAGCCCAGGCTGGTCTCAAACTTGCTATGTAGCTATGTAGCCATAGCAAACTTGTGATCCTCCTGCCTCATCTTCTTGAGTGCTGGGAACACCAGACTACATAAGCATACCCGGCTCAAGTCATCTATTATTTCGAGGCAGGGTCTTGCTTTCAACTCCTGACCCTCTTCTTTAGCTTCCCACGCCCTAAGGGTTTCCTATGCTCTGCAGACTCTCTCTCCTGAGGGGCCAATGCAGGGTCAAGGGAGCCCAGCTGGCTGGAGCACATCTTCCCAAGAGGGTTCCCTGCTCAATCCATCATGCATCCCTCTTCTGACAAACATGCTCCATCCTCATCCCACACACCGACACTACAGTTGCCTCTGGGTCTTCAGGTGTCCTTTACCTTCCTTTCCTGTCAAGACAGCAGTCAGAAGGACTCTATAAACAGTCATGTTACTCTCTTCTTTGCTCTATCCCAGGAATCCCACTGTCCTTTATGCCCCACATCAGAAGCCCTATCTCCTTCCCTGAGCCTCTTCCTTGCAGTTCACAGTTAGGACGGGCGGAGCTGTTACAGGGCCTTTACACTGGCTGCTCCCTCTGCTGCCCAGCACCCTCCCTTTCCTCCTCCAGCTGGGATGGGTACTTTATAACTTGTCCACTGTCTGCTAAGGGGAGATCTGTGCATCACTAATGGCCACCCCTCAGAATGTGGGGCAGGACTGGCCATCTCCCCAGGAGAGCACAAGCCCCACCCCATCCCCCACAGTGCCAGGGCAGGAAGACATCAATGGCGACAAGCACATCTTTTTTAATGCTCCTGAATGGCTATGTAGTGAACTGCCTATTTTGTTGTTTTTGTCTACATTTATTTACTCTTTGTGTATGCATGCATGCCCTAGCATATTTGTCAGTCGGAGAGCGTACCTGAGTTACTCCTTTTCCTCCACCATGTGGGTCCTGGAGATCAGAGCCAGCTCTTCAGGTTTGGAGGTGAGTGCCGTTACCCACTGAGCCATTCCACCTTCTAAAGGATTGTATTTTGTATTAAGTGTACAGGTATGAGTTTGCATGTGGGTGTGTGTACCTGAGCGTAGGTGCCTGCAGAGGCCAGAAGGCACCGGATCCCCTAGATATGGAGGTACAAGTAGTCATAAGCTGCCCAATATGGGTGCTAGGAACCAAACTCAGGTCTTCTACAAGAGCAGCAAGCACAGCCATGTCTCCCGCCCTTCCTGTGCTCCTTGTATGTGCTCATTCATGCCCATGGATGTGTGGGTGCATGTGAAGGTTAGAGGTCAACATTGGGTATTGGTCCTCAAGAGTCATCTCTTTGCTTTAAAAAAAAAAAAAATACTGAGGCTGGAGAGGTGGCTCAATGGTTAGAGCACTGCCTACTCTTCCAAAAAAACCTGGGTTTGAACCCCAGAACCCACATGGCAGCTAAAAACTGCCTCCAACCCCAGTCCTAGGGAGGATCTGACACCCTCTTCTGCCCTGTGCGCTCAGGCATGCAAGCAAGCAAAACACCCACATAAAATAAAAATTTTTAAAAATGACTTTGAGGTTAGGCTAGCCAACATAGCAAGTTCTAGGACAACCAGAACTACATAGTAAGACCCTGTCTCAAGGGAAGAAAAAAAAAAAATCACATTTATTTATTTGTGTGCAAGTGTATCGCCACAGTTTGCATACACAGGTTGTGGGAGTCAGTACTTTCTGCCATTCGAGGAACAGGGAGCAAACTCAGCTTACAGGCTTGGTGGCAGCCTTTACTACACTGGCCATCTCTCTAGTGTGCCTCAAATATAGTAGGCCAGGGCTCTAGCACTTAGTGTATGCCATACCCCAGCCCCTCTTTGCATGAACTCTCCAGTTAGACTGGCCCACCAAGGAGCCCGACCCACAGGTTTATGTCCCCAGTGCTGGGGTAACAATTGCAAGCCACCATGCCTAGCATTTTCACATGGGTTCTGACTGCCAAACTCAGCTGGCACAGCAAGCACTTTACCAAGCACACCATCTCCATGGTCTCCATGGCCCCTGCATGGTTTTCTTTTGCTCTGCCTTTTCGAGTAGAGTTTCCCTGCACAATACAGAGCAAGCCTCACACTGAAGATCCTCCCGCCTCTACCTCCCATGTCCTGGGATAACAGGCCTGCTCCACAACTGGCTGGTTCAGCTTTACTTGGATGACCTTTTTCTTAATGATTTGTGAAAACTCTTTATATATTCTGGGCACTAGTCTTTTACTGATTCCTTCATCTGTCTGTCCATAGCTCTGTATCCCAATATACTATAGGTACTCAATGGCTATTTCACAAAGGTAAACTGAAATGAATTACATAGAACTGTCTTCTAAAATTTTCACTACCACATTCAATAGTACGGAGCAGCAGCAGCACCCCCTTGGTCCACTCTTTCCATCACCATTCCTTGTTATATGTTTGTTTGAGACAAGTTTACTCTGTGTAGTCCTGGCTGTCCTGGAACTTACTCAATAGACCAGGCTGGCCTCGAACTCAGAGATCTGCCTGAATGATGGGACTAAAGGCTTGCGCCACCACTGACCAGTTTAAGCCAAGTATATGAACCCCTCTGATCAAAAGGAAACCATGTATGTGCCTGTATTCTTCTTGGAACACTATTAGGGGTGTGTAAGTGCGTGTGTGTACCTGAGACAGTTCCTGGAATACTATTGGGGTGTATAAGTGTTGAGGCACTATCTTTCTTTACTGTCTTGGACTCTATACCCCAGCCTCCTTTCACTGCTGTGGTTTAGTCTAGCTTTTGTGTGCCCTCTGGTGAGAGCCCCAAGGCTTTGAGGAAAATGAGTGCCTAGTAAATCAATGGTGCAGACCCTGAGACACCTCTTGCCACTTACCAGCGGCACAGACAAAGCCAAGTTGCTAAGCTTCACAAGGCTGCAGTTTTCTCATCCGAGAACCTGGCAGAGTTCGTGTCTGTCAGGTGGGTCCTTACAGAACTCCCAGACTGTGCTGCATGGGACCTGCTCAGCACATTAGTGAGCCTTGTCAGGAAGTGCTGGATGTGTTATTATTTGCAGTGATGGAGACAGAAACTAGAACCTTTCATCTGCTAGGAAGGCACTCTACTGCCGACCCACCCCTCCCCACCTCTCCCTGACAGGTTCTAGGCAGGGCCTGTACTGTTGACCCACACCTCCAGAGTGCTCCCAGTCTTTATTCCGGTCACATCCTTCCTTCCCTGGCCTTGGAGCATCCCACTCCATAGCCTGGCAAGGCCTATCCAGACTTCTCCAGGCAGCCGGCTCGCCCCAGCCCCACACACAGGAGCTGCTCTACAATATCAGGGCCTATGAACTTAGCTGTATGCTGCCTTGACAGAGTCCCGGCTGTTATTTATCTTTGTGTCTCCATTTTTTAAAGTTTATTTTTATGTGTATGAGGGCTTTGCTGCGTGTCTGCCTATGCACCACTTGGGTGCCTGAAGAGGTCAAAAGAACTACAGTTAAAGATAGTTGTGACCCACCATGTGGGTGCTGGGAATGGAACTCCCAGCATGCACTCTGTGAGCTGTCTCGCCAGCCTGTGTCTCTATTTTAAAATGCAAACCAGGTGGCATTCCTCATCTGTCTCCGATCTCACAAAGGGATTCCACCGTATAGGGGGAGACTCGACAATAAAAAGATGTCTTTCCTGTACCAGGCCCTCAATCACATCTGTAGCTTCATTCTCTGTGCCAGCTATTACATACTTCTCTCTGCCAGGGGTGTGCATGATCTCCCCCGCCCAGTGATCTCTAAGAGGCCGGCCACTCAGCACTCAGCAGGATCTGCAGTGGCTGCTCACATTAACTTCTTGTCTGTTCCCCATTAGAATGCAGGGAATTCTGTCCTGCATTTGGAGGACACTTCCCTCCAAGCAAAACATGGTGCCTGGCACAGTACCTGCTTAGCACTTGTAGGTGAACTGTAGAATGAATGTCTTGTAGCCCTAACTGACTGTGAACCAAGCCCCACCAACAGGACTGCTAGAGAACTATGAGGACCCCCCTGCAGGAAGCTGAAGGGAAGTGGGTTGGATGGATTTCCGGAGTTCAGAGCTCTCATCCCAAGAAGGGCCTGAGACTTAGCAACCCTGCAGTCACAGAAAAGTTAAGTGGGAGGAGCAGGAAGCAGGGAAGGGGGTCCCTGGGGCTCAGATAACGCCTGGCTTAGGGGACACCACATCTGCTCCCTTGTCGTCCCTCCCTCCTAACCTCCAGCACAGTACTACTTTGGGGAGGAGGGCTGGAGGCCTCTGATTCATTCTTGAAAAACCGGATCCTGAAGGTTTCATCTCTCCAATGTTTCCGGGGCGGGGGCCGAGGGGCGTGAACGCACCGCTTGCCCCGATTCCCAGACACCTGGCCTCTACACTCAACTCTCAGTCATTTCTCTTTGCAGTAAAGAGTAGCCAGGGTGGGTGGAGGGGGAATGGGATTAAAGGACCCACGGTATTTAGGCCTTGCCTCGCCAGTTCAAGAGAAGGGACAGGAGGGCAACCTGGAAGCTGTCTAGTGACCTGTGGGCGCCAGGAAGGAAGCAAAACCCGTAGGTGCGGCTCCGCGTGCAATGAGTCCAGCGGCTGGACAGGGACGATTTCTGGAACTAGTTTCTGAACTCAAAGGCATGGGTCCCTCATCCCCACCGGCCACTTACTAGCTGTGTGACCTTGAGTGAGTCACTTCACCTCTCTGGCCCCGATACCTCACTTCTAAAAGAAGTTAACAGCCCCTCCCAGGAGGCTGTTTTGCCTCAATGCTGTGCACGGTAAGCGTCTGACGAGGAAGCGCTGGGGTCCGGGCTAGCGAGGCAGGGGGATCCAAACTATTACTGGGTTGTTATTGCCATCCGGACCTGGGTGGCCCCGGGTCCCGGCCGCCAGCTTTTGGGCAGGGGCCCGGGAGGGGTCGGGACCCACCACCAACAGGGAGCGTCCCGGGAGCAGAGGGCAGGGGCGGGCCGGAGGCCCCCGCCAGCGGGGAGGGGTCCGTGTTTGGGGTCCCGACGCGGCCAGCCCCACCCCGCCGACACGGCTCCACGCCCGGGAGGCCGCCCCGGCCGGGGGACACTCACCTGCGCCGCAGCCGCCCCGCGCGCCCAGTTCGGTCCTCTGGAAACTCGGCCCGGCTTCTCCCTCGGCCTCCGGTACCTGGGCGGGGCCGGCGTCCCGATAGGACCAATCAGCGGCGGCCGTCCATACTGGCGGCCAATGGGTGCCTCCCGTCGAATGCTCCGAAGGGATCCCTCCGCCGCACCTCGGCCTCCCCCCCCCCGGTGAGCGCAGTGGTCCGACCTTACTCGGTCTAAATAGCTGCCGGCTGAACCATTGCGGGACTGCGCGGGGGAGGCGGACGGGGGACGGGCGGGGAGCTGGCAGTAAGAGTCAGATGACAGGATTTGGAGGACTGCGCTCGGCATCCAGGAAAGCGGGCTCTTTGGGAGGTCAGCAAAGAGGCCCTCTGGCTCAGCTTCCCTCCCAGAAAGATACTTTGACTCCAGGGGTGGGCCATAGTGAATAGGGAGGGTTCCGCGTGTCTCTTCTTCTTCCACTCTACACAATAGACAAAGGCAATCGTGCATTCATTCAATCTTTCAATCTTTAAGTGCCCCTGTCTGTACCAGGCTCGGTCCTGACTCTACAGACACTTGGGTGGAGATACAGCGTGTGCAAAGGCTCCGAAGCTGCACAAAGAGCCGCAGAGCACTTTGCTAGCAAAGCTGTGTAAGAAGACATCGTGGAGCATATTTAGACAGTCGATTTGTCAATTGAGTTATCTACTGTGCAGAATCATAGATGGTGACCAACCGGTACAGGCCTCCTCCTCTTCCTCCTTCTCCTCCTCCAAACCCTCCTTCTCCTCCTCCAACCCCTCCTTCTCCTTCATAGAAATGTATGATGGAGAAATGGTAGGGAAAAGGATAGATTACTGAATCTCCTTAACCCCAAAGCAACTGCTAATCTCAAGATATTTTACACTGGTATAGATTTTAGACTATTGATATAAATTTAAGGTTAATTTTGTTATGCTGTATTTATAATTCTACTCTTGTTAAGGTATTGTGTTTATGCAGTTTATAATATTCAAACTTAAGGTTATGTTAGTTAGGTTTAGTTAGTTATATATTCAGAGATATATTTTTAGATAGATAGGTTGTAGGGAAAAAGGGCCAGCCAAAGAGACACACTTTGTCCCTGCAACCAGAACCAAAGAAATGCACCCTGGTCCTGAAACCAGTGCCAAAGAAACATACTTTGTCCCTGGAATCAGAGCCAGTGAAAGAAACACACTTTGATCCTAAAACCAGAGCCAAACATGACCCTAAACCTGTAAAGAAAATTAACCAATCTCTGAGCAGGAGATCTAGCCATCATAAACTCAGGGATTGAAATCTGACCAATCCTCATCCCTGGAAATCTCCCTGGAAAAACTACATCCCTAAGTATCCCTGTATAAGCCCTGTGCCTAAACCCTGTGCCTGTTCCGCATGTGGCTGGCTGCCTCCTTCCACCCTGGCAGAGGCAGCCACTCTCCTGGATTCCTCCCTCCCAATAAATTTCTTGAATGAGGTTTGGGTGAGACCTTCCTTTGCAGTGGAGCAGAACAGAGAGGAGATGGGGAAACCCTCTCCTGCCAGAGCAGATCTGTTACATCAGGAAGCCATTCCTTGGAGCTGGGGAAGGCCTCTCCTGCCAGAGCAAAGCTGATACACTGGGGAAGCCTTCCCTGAAGTGGGGCTGTAAGCTGCTATGCTTACTGTGACCTGTGATAGTCCTAGGCTTCCTAACACCAGGATACCTTCCCATCTGATCCACTCCAACGCTTACATAGGTAATCTTCAAACACTTCAAAGACCTATATTTAAAATAACATTTAAAATGTTTTAATAACTTAGAATTCTTTTGATGTGAGACACGTCTGCTCCTGGCAGCCTATCTACTCCTGAGAGGATGATGGGCACTGAAGACACTCCATATGGAGTTTGTTTTCCTTTTGGCAAAACTGGCCTATTGGGCAAAGAACTACTCTTGCCTGGACTGCTGACAGTAAGTATGCTGTCTAATCTGGATAAACAGAACACAAGAAAGCGTGACTGCTGAACCTTGTCAAGACATGTTAGGATAGTCCTTCAAATTTTCCTTCTTCTGAAAATGGTATGTCAGATATTCTAGGCCTATAAGTCAAGGTTGGATGCCCAAACATCACACACACAAAAAATCCAGGGAGCCAGCTGTTTTGTCATTTCCTGTATCTTTAATATTGTTGTCCTTATTAGGTAATATTTTCCCTTCTCAGGTCTTTGATAGAGTTGAAGACTAAATAATTATACTTATAATTTTTCTTTTCCTTTTTAAAAAAGATTTATTTATCTGTTTATTTATACAGTGTTCTGTCTGCATGTATTCCTGCAAGCCAAATAGGGAATCAGATCTCATTACAGATGGTTGTGAGCCATCATGTGTTGCTGGGAATTGAACTTAGGTCCTCTGGAAGTGCAACCATTGCTCTTAACCACTGAGCCATCTCTCCAGCCCCTAGTTATAATCTTTCTTTCTTTCTTTCTTTCTTTTTTTTTTTTTTTTTTTTTTTTTTTTGTTTCGTTTTTTGAGACAGGGTCTCTCTGTGGCTTTGGAGCCTGTCCTGGAACTCACTTTGTAGACCAGGCTGGCCTTGAACTCACAGAGATCCACCTGTTTCTGCCTCCCAAGTGCTGGGATCAAAGGCATGCACCACCACTGCTAGGCATAATTTTTCTTAGTGACAATAATAGATAAATGGTGGTAGTGGTGCATGCCTTTAGTCTCAGCACTTGGGAGACAGAGGCAGGTGGATTTTTGTGAGTTTGAGGTCAGCCTGGTCAACAAAGTGAGTTTCAGGACAGGCAACAAAGCTACACAGAGAAACCCTGTCCTTTGCTTTTGAGCAATCAAAAAATTCAAAACCAACACAATAACTAGCCACAACATGAATGTTACACTGGCTTGAAGTTTTTTCCTGCTAAACACATAGATGATTGCATTTTAATTATATCTAGGAAAGCACAAAGCAAAGCAAGGCCATATCCAGATTGAGGGTACACCAAGGACATCTCTTAGCATATCCTTTCACCAGATTGGATTCTATAGCTATGTTCTGACATCCAAGAACAATACAAGGAGCATAATGCACTTGAGGTAAAGGGCCCTCTGCCTTTTCTTCTGGAGCCCAAGGCAGTGTTCACCACATGTCCTTCTTTTGGCCATGTTCCCACAGTTGTGCCACCATTGTATCAGCATTATCATTCAGGCAGATCACCACTGTAGATCAAAGGGTTTGTAGATGGTTAGTGGTTGCCTTTCTCCTCTGGAAGCTTGAAGATTACCTTCCACTACCATGAGCACTAGTCAGTATGGGGAAAGGATCTAGTTGGTACCAGCTCAACTTCTGTGTTCATTGTAGGTGTTCTCTTCAACAATAGGGTCTTATCATCTGTTTGTGGAGGGCATCCAATAGCTTGTCAATAGCCTGAGTTGTTTGGGGGTTTCCATGAGACTCCTTTGTCCAATGACTCAATTAAATATAACCATTCCTGGCATTAGAGATTTCAATGGTGGTGAAAGATGTCTACCTGGGGTATTGTCTTCCCCATTATTTGGTTACTTCATTTTGTTTATTGTGGGAAAATCTGTTAGCACGCTGTAAAGATGTGTTTCTGCATAAGGCACCTTCTGATTGGTTTAATAAAGAGTGGACTGGCCAATAGCTAGGCAGGAGAGAATAGGCAGGAGTTCTAGGGAGAGAGAGGAACTCAGAAAGAATTGAGGAGTGCACAGAGACACCAGCTAGACAATGGAGAAATTAGACATACGGTGTAAAGGAGGTAACTGAACCATGTGATGGAACATAGACTAATAGAAACAGGTTAATTTAAGTTATAAGAGCCAGTTGGGGAAAAGCCAAGGCCAAGCTTTCATAATTAATATTAAGTCTCTGTGTCATTTTTTGTGAGCTGGAGGTCCAAAGAAAAGTCTGACTACATTTGTTCATATATGTGCATATTTTAAGAAACTTCTGTAGTAGTAGGCTTTCCCCACAAATGGCCCTTAGTTTTTTTCTTTCTGTATTCCCTCCCTTAGCCTTCTCTCCCCACCCTAGTCCATTACTTTATACATAATCTCTGAGGTTATGTGGATTGTAGCATGTCTAGCAAAGGTTTAACAGCTAACACCCATGTATAAGAAAATACATACAACATTTGTCTTTTGGGTCTAGGATACCTCACTTAGGGTGATGTTTTCTAGCTCCATCTATTTACCTGCAAGTTTTTTATTTTTTTAACATCTAAATAATATGCCATTGTGTAATTGTACCCTATTTTCTTTATCCATTATTCTGTTAATGGGCATCTAGGCTGTTTAAAGTTTCTGGATGTTGTGAATTAAGCAGCAGTGAACAGGGATGAGCAATTGTTTCTGTATTAGGCTTTGTAGAGTCCTTTGGGTACATGCCTAGGAGTGATGTCGCTGGATCCTGAGGTGCATTGATTCCCAGCTTCCTGGGGAAGAGCTACACTGATTGCCACAGTGTATGTATAAGTTTGCACTCCCACCAGCAATGGATGAGTGTTCCCCTTACTCCACACCCTGACCAGCATGAGTTGTCATTTGTTTCATTGATCTTGGCCATTCTGACTGGTATAAGAAGAAATTTCAAAGTACTTTAAATTACATTTCCTGGATGATGAAGGATGTTGAACATTTCTTTAAGTGTCTTTCAGCCATTTGTGTTCATCTTTTGAGAATTCTCTTTTAGATATATACACTATTTTTTAATTGAGTTATTTGTTTTCTTGCTGTCCAGTTTATTTTAGTTCTTTATAGATTTTAGATAATAGCCCTCTATAAGATGTGTAATTGGTAAAGATTTTTTCCCCATTGTTTAGGCTGTCACAAATGATGGTGTCTTTTGCCATACATATGTCTTCAGGATCATGAGGTCCCATTTATTAATTTTTATTCTCAGTGTTTGTGCTATCAGTGTCCTGTTCAGAAAGTCTTTTTCCATGTCTATGAGTTAAGCCTGTTCCCCACTTTCTGTTCTGTCAGATTCAGGGATCTGGCCTTATGTTGAGGTACTTGATCTACATGGAATTACATTTTTTTCAGGGTGATATATATGGA